GAGACCACCACACCTGCAGAGACCACCACACCTACAAAGACCACCACACCTGCCGAGACCACCACACTTGCCGAGACCACCACACCTGCCGAGACCACCACACCTGCAGAGACCACCACACCTGCAGAGACCACCACCACACCTGCCGAGACCACCACACCTGCAGAGACCACCACCACACCTGCAGAGACCACCACCACACCTGCAGAGACCACCACACCTGCAGAGACCACCACACCTGCAGAGACCACCACACCTGCAGAGACCACCACACCTGCCGAGAGCACCACACCTGCAGAGACCACCACACCTGCAGAGACCACCACACCTGCCGAGACCACCACACCTGCAGAGACCACCACCACACCAGCCGAGACCACCACACCTGCAGAGACCACCACCACACCTGCAGAGACCACCACACCTTCCGAGACAATCCCCACACCTGACAACACCATCTCCACACCTGACACCACCATCTCCACACCTGACACCATCTCCACACCTGACAACACCATCCCCACACCTGACAACGCCATCACCCCATCTGCCGACACCCCATCTGCTGACACCTCACCCCACACCACCACCTCAAGATCACAAAGATGGAGAAACAGATTAAGCAGGATCTGGAAGACAGTGAAGAGGCCATTTGTCTGCTGTGTAAAGGCTGAGGATTGAATTATTAGTAAGTAAATAAGCAATCTTTGTGATTTAGATAAAGTTTGATTTACAACTAAACAGAAGAGCCCAGTCTGGTATATCTAAAAACTGCAGAAATTATCATCTGCCAATGATTTGGACAGGATGGTGGTGCAAAATTAAAGAAAAGGGCTCAAGGAGGATCTAAAAACATTTGGCAAAAATTCTGAATAATTATTGTAGTTTTTTTTTCTACTGGAATTGTGGCTCGCTTGGTGAAATTAGACCACTGACATGTGAACCTTTCATATTTCTACAGGAACAGCATATCAGACTACAGCCAGGACAAGTAAGCAACTATCTACATCTACATTATCTACTATTATCACTACATGGAAGGATATGTTAATATGATTGATAGGCAGAATCAGTATTCAGCTGAGTATTCAATGTCAGAGTTATGCATGATATTTTAAATATATAGCACTTAAAACACAATGTAAAACTGATGGTACAATAATTGTACCGTATGTCCATAATAACGAAATTTCACCAGAAATATATTAGAGAACTCAGATGAGAAGAATTAAGAAATTGATAGCAAATACTCACTAGTCTCGTAGATGACACAGGCTTTCAGCTCCCACTGCAGGTAAGCCGAAGTACGGGAAGCGGCAATGTTCTCAGGTTTCTGACCCGGGAAAAATATGTATATTATATGTTCCGTAAATAAGTGCACCGTCAGTCTCATAACCAGGGTGACACAGGACAGTGTTACTTGTGAGACTAGGGGGGGACTTAGTCGGGGAACCAGTCTAGGAACCAGGGTGACTGGACAGTGTACTCGCATCTGGGAACCAGGGTGACTGGACAGTGTACTCGCATCTGGGAACCAGGGTGACTGGACAGTGTACTCGCATCTGGGAATCAGGGTGACTGGACAGTGTACTCGCATCTGGGAACCAGGGTGACTGGACAGTGTACTCGCATCTGGGAACCAGGGTGACTGGACAGTGTACTCGCATCTGGGAACCAGGGTGACTGGACAGTGTATTCGCATCTCGTGGGAACTAGGGTGACTGGACAGTGTTACTTGCATCGTGGGAACCAGGGTGACTGGACAGTGTACTCGCATCTGGGAACCAGGGTGACTGGACAGTGTACTTGCATCTGGGAACCAGGGTGACTTGACAGTGTACTCGCATCTGGGAACCAGGGTGACTGGACAGTGTACTCGCATCTGGGAACCAGGGTGACTGGACAGTGTACTCGCATCTCTGGGAACCAGGGTGACTGGACAGTGTACTCTAGGGCTGCGTACCTAAACGTAACATCAGGTACAGGTACAGGTACTGGTACAGAGGTTTAGGTCCAGGTCCGGACCTGTACCTGTACCTGAACAATTTGACAAATTATCGCGTGTTCTTCACTTTTTCAATCATGACACAGAAACAATAATAAAGTGTTGGAGGGAAGGGAAAATGACTGACCTCTGACCTGATTTGAGTTTGTTGACCAATCACAACCCTGGATCAGCCACACTCTCGCGATGTCTCGTGAGACTGAGGATCTCAAATCAATCGACGGTGTTTACGTCTTTTCCAGTGCTAATTTTTCGTCTTTGTGGTAGGATTTACCTATCTTTAGTCATGTACATGGTGTAAACTAGCTATTTCGGTATATACTCGTTACTTCATGATCCGGTATTTTGGACCTGTACCGAAACGATTTTTACGGTATTGGACCGGTACAGTGTACCGGTCCGCAGCCCTAGTGTACTCGCATCTGGGAATCAGGGTGACTGGACAGTGTACTCGCATCTGGGAACCAGGGTGACTGGACAGTGTACTCGCATCTCTGGGAACCAGGGTGACTGGACAGTGTACTCGTATCTGGGAACCAGGGTGACTGGACAGTGTACTCGCATCTCTGGGAACCAGGGTGACTGGACAGTGTACTCGTATCTGGGAACCAGGGTGGCTGGACAGTGTACTTGCATCTCTGGGAACCAGGGTGACTGGACAGTGTACTCGCATCTCTGGGAACCAGGGTGACTGGACAGTGTACTCACATCTGGGAATCAGGGTGACTGGACAGTGTACTCGCATCTGGGAATCAGGGTGACTGGACAGTGTACTCGCATCTGGGAACCAGGGTGACTGGACAGTGTACTCGCATCTGGGAACCAGGGTGACTGGACAGTGTACTCGCAGACTAGTTGCAGAACCAGGGCGTGCACCATAGAATCATGGAACCAGGGTGTGCACTATAGTCGCGGAAACAGACCACAGAGTGAGCACTTAGATGCAGAGTGACTTTACTGTTGCTGAAAAACGGAGTGTGCACAGTTAGTCATGGAAGAACTGGGAGAGATGGCGATGGCGCCCACGAGTGGGCATGACACCCCCTAGAAGCAATACCACCAATGTGTGGGCACTGTAGCCCCCCCTCCAAAAAAAAACAAACAATTGAAGCAATGGCGTCTGTACGTGGGCATGACACCCCCTAGAAGTGATAGCACTCTTGTGCGGTCATCGCACCTCTTGGGAGCGATGGTGCTCGTGTGCCAGAGTGTCAGGCCAAGGTTGCGTTCGCGCGGCAACAAACATGCATTTTCTTCACCTGCCAATGAAGTTTGCTATGCGATATGTCATTTTACTACGTATAATACAACTGAATATTTCGCAGTCAAAATCTGTCCAGAGGGCAGCTCCATTTTTATGTGATTGGGAATCTGAAATCATGAGAATGTTGTTGTCACCTAAGTTTAATATATATATAATCTTTAGCATTTGTTTGTATGTAATGTATGTTTGGATGTGGTTTAGCAATATATTGATAACTCAAGAAGCTATATGGATGGATTGTAATGAAATTTTGAAGGCAGATAAGTCTTCGTTGACCTATCAAAAAAAAAGATTACTAGTCTATATTTTGGACACCCCTGGCATCTTTCCTTGGTACTGAAGCAGAACTCCCGGTTTTGATATCTTGTGTTATGGGAATGGTGGAATCATGATTTTTAAGATAGTTCTTGGGCTCATCGCAAGAATAGCCTTTGTTACATTGTAAGTTCAGACTTTTAAACCTTGGACAACTTGTGATAATTGGGTAGAGAGAATCATTGATATAATTTATGCAAATTAGAACATTTGCATAATCAATTGGAAACCTTTATAATAAAAAATCCTTAATGGCCTTTTTCAGTTTAATGGTTAACATTATTTGGTATAAGGTCATGGCACGTTGATGTTTTGGAAATAGTTTAGTCCGCCAATTGCCCAAGAAATTATTGGTGACATTTTAATGAAGGAGGATTATACGTAATATATGTTCTTGGTTATATATACACCACAATATTAACATTAAACGGAATGTCCATAAACATATGTAATGTTAAGCTTCTAAAAAAAGACCAATAAGTTAAATAAAATCTTAGGTGATCGTCGGATTAAATTACTTTCATAACGTCGACTCAGTAACATTCTTGATTCAACGATTTCAGATTCCCAATCACATTCAGATGTAGCTGTCCACACGGCAGGTTTTGACTGCAAAATATTTAGTTCTAGCCTCCTCCACAGACTTCTTGGAGTTTAGTATTATTATTTTTTTTGGAGTTTATTATTTTTTTAACGGGGGAGCACTGAAACCCGATTTCTTACACAGGCCAAGGTTCTCTAATGCGTAACTCCCTCGGGGGCATAACTTCCTCTGCCACATTAGTGAGCCTTAGCCTGTGTAATAATCATTTATTAGTGCTCCTTCTAGCCTGGATACCATCTCTTCAAGCTTTAGTCTGTTCTCTCTCTTATTACCTTGAAAGGAATGTTATCCAGGCTTCTCTAAATCTAATGCGCAACTCCATCCATGGCAAAACTCCCTCTACCACATTAGTGAATAATCGACTACATGTATTAGTGCTCCCCCCTAGCCTGGATAGCATTCTCTTCAAGCTTAAGTCTGTTCTCTCTATAGCTTGAAAAGAATGGTATCCAGGCTAGCACCACCCCCCCTGCCCAGGAAAGAAAAAACCTGCTCCAAGAAGTCTGTGAAGGAGGCTTTGTAGTTCAGTGTGGCATGGCAGGCTTCGGCAGTTCGGAGGGAAATGCTTGTTTGTTGTGACCGCACTAGCGCAGTGTTGACCTGGCGTTCTGGCACCCGGGTGCCGTCGCTTTCGAGAAGTGCCATGACCGCACAAGGGCGCCATCACTTCTAGGGGGTGTCATGCTTGCACATTGAGGCCATTGTCATCGCAGTGAAATTTAAAAAAAAACAATCTACTACTACTACAACTATCGCTCCTTAAGGAGGTGTCATGCCTGCACAGGTATCATCGCCATCACGCCATAATGTGGACCCAAGGCTTACCCAAGCTGGGTGAATGCCTAAAGGTGGATCCAGCACCCACCTAGCCCCCTAAGCAGTAGTGCCCCCCCCCCCAAGCACAGTGCACCCCCAGCAGTACAGACTGTGCACCCCCAGCAGTACATTGTACGGTCCCCCAGCAGTACAGTGCAGCGGTCCCCCAGCAGTACAGTGCAGCGGTCCCCCAGCAGTACAGTGCAACGGTCCCCCAGCAGTACAGTGCAGTGGTCCCCCAGCAGTACAGTGCAGCGGTCCCCCAGCAGTACAGTGCAGCAGTCCCCCAGCACCAACAGTGCACATCCCAGCACCAATAGTGCACAACCCAGCACCAATAGTGCATGACCCAGCACCAACAGTGCACAACCCAGCACCAACAGTGCACAACCCAGCACCAACAGTGCACAACCCAGCACCGACAGTGCACAACCCAGCACCAACAGTGCACAAACCCAGCACCAACAGTGCACAACCCAGCACCAACAGTGCACAACCCAGCACCTACAGTGCACATCCCAGCTCAGTGCACATTCCAGCCCCCCCCCCCACATTTTGCACGGTTAGGTCATGCCTTTATGTTTCCAAAGAGAAATTCGTTAAAAAATCTGTCCACAGCAAAACGTTTCCTATCTACACTGCGCACTCATCATCCTTTGTGTTGTCATATAAGTTATGTGGCAGTGCCAGAGCCCGTACTTCGGCTAATACCCTGCAGTGGGAGGCAATTTTTTATGTTGACACTTTTATATATCACTCACTATAAGTAACATCTGGGTACATATACTATAATTCCTGATTTTTTTCACCATACTTTTATGTTCACTGACACTGTCACCTATGTACTATTAACTTATCATATAAATAACTTTCTCCTTCATGCTGTAGTTCCTTGAACATGTTTTGCAGATATGAACCATGAACATGAATTAGAGTAGATTATGAACATTAAAATCCATGTAGTCTCTTTCATGCTTGCCTGCTTACGGCTTGTATAATTTATTTACTAGTAATTAATTAATTAATTGCATAGCTTTACCATTGAAGGTTATTACATGTACCAATGTAGCCCCCTTCTCAGCCTTTCTGCCTGTATTACTAGTATCTATTATATTTTACATAGCTTTATAATTATTGGTCACTACTGATACTAATGCAGACCCCTTGTCAGACTCATTCAACCTTTAGACATACCATTACCTGCACCCAGAAGTCTCATGCTTGCCCTGTTACTGCTTATTTAGTATAATTTATTAATGACCGTTGTAGGTTATTACATGTACCAATGTAGTCCCCTTCTCAGCCTTACTGCCTGTATCTATTATATATTACATAGCTTTATAATTATTGGTCACTACTAATACTAATACTAATGCAGTACCCTTGTCAGACTCATTCAATCTTTAGACATAATTACCTGCACCCAAAGACACTGAATGTAGTTTCTCTGATGACAATAAAAAACAAAACGACCGAGAGTTGGATGACCTCATACCTGTGCCGGATGATGTTAACATTTAGGACTGACAGATTGTTAATGTTTCTCATTGATTCTACATACATGTATCAATGATAAGCATTTAGAATTGCCATTTACTACTGACAGCACTGTTACTGTACCCAGTAACAGTCAGTTATGTTGATAGGACCTTGCAGCATATTTATGCAATGACCTGCTGGAAGAGTACATGTAGCCGTTCGACTAAAAAATTAAGATGACTGGCCAAATACCAAATCGGAGAAAAAACATTAAAAAAGAAACAATAGGAAGGAAGCCTATATATATATGGTTACGACCAGTTCCTCCAGGACATGCATTGCTGACTATAGACTGACATAGATTGTGTATGTGAGTGAAGATACACTGTATTTGTTTCTCTTTCAATGTATGTTTGAACATCCTTGATCAGTGATGAGGTCAGTGATAACTGTCACTGCACATTTCACCACACACTGTTTTACACCACACTAATGTGTGTGTTGTCAACTAGAGTGTAGCATTTTCCAGAAATGCACTATCACCACAATCTCTTTTTCATACCTTTTCAATTCTTGTGCAAAAACTACAATGTGTTGTCATGAACCACATTATTCACCACTTATTTCATAATGCACTCTTTTTACTGTCTGTATATTAGTAACCATAGAGTTCATTTACAATGACTTTATGAGATAATTATATACTTTCTCAACTCTCCTCTATTACATTAGTACTGGAAACCTATCTCACACGTGAAAGAATATTTCAACCAGTTCTCTGCAATCATGCTACTCCAGCCAAGGCTCTGACTTAGTACATGTATAATATAATTATAAATCTGACAATATGCCACATTTTCATAATGATACATCTCACATACTGCTATAGCCACCACCTTACAGAAAATTGATAATCTCATATCATAGTATTCATACTTCAAGTACCTACGCTGTACACCATTCATAGTATTCATACTTCAAGTACCTACGCTGTACACCAAACCAAGAATTACATCATAATTGTACAGCCCGTCACACATAGCAGAGCATGGCCTTGGTTAGTCTTGTGCGAGGTCATCTGTGGTTGGGAGTTGTCCAGCAAGGTTGCACAGTAGTATTTAAATCTCGTCAGTCAGGGCTCGAAATTAAAGGTGGCCCAATGGCCACTGACCACTAAAATTTAAGCTGGGACAACGAAAAAGACACTTTGGGCCATCATTATATTGGGACAATAGAAAAATAATCAACATCAGAATGTCAGCCCTTCTTTTGTTTACTTCTGTCTACTCTGCAACTGCAGTGCGCCTGGGAGTTAACATAAGCCAAATAAAGTTGACTTCAAGTTGAAGTCATACTATACTTCCCAAAAACATGTTTGGACAGTTCATTCTCACTTCGGGACAATTGAAACTTCTTCCTATTGTCCCAGCACTGTCTCCAAAATAAAAGTTAACTTCGAGGCCTGCCTGGTCAGTGCCAGGCTACTCCAACCCCACCACCGACCTTGGGGAGTCAGTGGCTGAAATACTTTTTTTTCAGTGTTCTGCAATATTGCAGAATGTCTCAATATTGTTTTGCCATTTGGGAATTCTGTAGCCTGTGAAACACAAGATGTAGGACCTGTGACAGACTACTTAGTAACTACAAAGCCAGCAAAAAGTGAGGTTCAGTCAGGCTAGAAATTCTGCAAATATACACTTTTAAGCCCTAACTCAAATCCATACAAAATCACATGTTGGGAAACATTTTACATGCAATTTGAAAAATACATGCATAACTAGTATATCAAGAAGTCAGTAGTAAGCACAAAAGCTCCTAAACATTGTCATACAGACACAATTGAACCCCTATCCTGATATTTTCAGTCTGCAAAATTGCAGGTTGCTTAATTTGCAACATTGAAAATTTCTCTGCAAAATGCAGACTACAGATGGGTATTCCTAACACTGGGAGTTGCCAGCATGCAAAGTTGTGGGAGGCCCCTGAATGTGTGACAAAGGCTTTGAAAAAGTTAAGACTTGCAGCTAACATATAATTTTGTTGCTGAATTTCTGTCACTCTTTTCCAGACTTTGGTCTAAGATAACACAAGGTCTACTCAAAGTGACCCCTCACAGCAGTCATGACTAGTGATACAAAAATCTTGGGCTCAAAGTCTAGTCTAAGGTGAAAAACAATCCTGTCTGAACCAGACCTAAGCAGCATTTCATATCTTTACACCACACTATTATTACACCTCAGTAGTAAACAAAATGTTCATCATTATGCAGGTTAATTTCAATGTCATCTCCTATTAACAAAAATATACATGTAGCACCTACATATCTGAGTTCATACACTCAAGAGATAAACTACACACGTCCTATACATAGCTGACACCTTCCTTAATTAAGTTCTGTTGGACAGAAAAATAATGAAAGTAACTTTCTACATATATTTGAATCAGAAAGTTACTGAAAACTGGCACAATCAACTACACTATCTGACAGAAATGAGGATTCCAGTCATATTTCTATATAGGATTCCCTAGGTTGTAACAATGACTGTTGATGCTATAGTGGTGTAATTCTAGTTTATCATTTTGTCATTGACAAATTTAAAGCAGCAGCATTTTAAGGACACAGGGTCATTCAATTTCTTAGTGTTTCTCTGCCAGCTTCTTGGCTTCCGGGGCAAACTTCTCCAGAAACTTCTGGTGGTCGACGAGGGTAGCTAGCAGTCCCCCCTCGTTCTTAGGGTTCCCCTCGGCCGAGTAGTTGATCTCCTCCCCGCCGAGCGTCGTCATGTGTCCGTTCATGGCCAGGAGGAGCGCGTTCCCGGCACAGATGTCCCACTTCTTGATCAGGGTGACGTGGATGTACGCGTCGGCGATGCCCTCGAAGAGCGAGAGGACCTTGTAGCCCGCCCCGCCGGCCGGTATCACCTCCGTCTTGTCCCCGAGCATCTGCTTGGCTACCTGCTCCACAGAGCCGGCGTGGGACCGCGACACGATGATCCTCTGCGCCTGCCCCTCCTCCCCAGCCTTCCTCTCCAGCACGTTCAGCCCCTTGGAGTGCCCGTGCCCCACCCAGGCCCAAGCTGTCCTGTGCTCGAACGGTTTGTGGATCACCCCTATGGTGGGTTTTCCCTTGATGGCCACGCACACCATGGTAGTCACGTACTGCCTCAGATCCTCCGTGTACTCCTGGGTGGCATCCAGAGGGTCCACCCAGACCGTGATGTCCTCGTAGGGAACCCTCCGGTCCTCCTTGATCACCTCGTCCACCTCCGGGTGCGTCGTTTTCGGCGCCTCGACCGTGTGTACCTCGTCTCCCTTCTTCTCGTGCTCCTCCGAGACCACCTTGAGGCGCGGGAACACCTTCTCGAAGCCGTGCACGATCGCGATGTGCGACTGAAGGTCCCCGTCCGTCATGGGGTCGTTGGCGCCCTCCCTGGTCTCTCCTTTACTCTGCTCGGCCAGCTTGTTGGCCTCCCGGATCTCCCTCACCTTGTCCCCTCCCTTCTCCGCCAAGTCAATACTCACGGCAAGAAGCTCCTTCAGGCTAATGTCCACACTCATGCTGTGCACGTCCCCGTCTTGGCCTAGTGTCAGCTTGGGGTTCTTCTTGTCGCTCGAGCCCCTCATCCAAACTTGCAGGTACAAAACTACGCTGCCGATCAGTATGAATATCAGTGCATACCCTAGTGGGGACAGCCTTACCCCCATTGGCGCCATGGCTCCTGTCGGTTCGAAACCTTTGCGTAGGAACGCTGAGATCGCCTCCTTCCAGCTTCTCCTGTAAACTACGAATGTCTGCGGTCCCTCAGAGTGCTTCTCCACTGAAATCATCGCGAAGAAAACCCGGGAAGAGAGCGTCGGACTTTGCCGGTGTACATGTACGCGAGCTGACTTCCACGTCACCACGCACCGGTCCAACCGGAGCTGACATGTCCTCGGGCATTTTTGTTATACCGCGTGTTTACGTCAGAGACTAGACTTGTTGAGCCGGATTGGAAGCCTCACGCCTATAATTTACAGCAGACACACACCTGCGAACAGGACACAGATATGTAGGTTTTAATTCTCAAAACAACACCTGGAAACGGGAAGTACAGGTATGCAGATCGTAATAAGATTATAAGACAATTTCGGTGTCACTAGTTCTGGCAGAATGGCAAGTTTTAACGCCTAAACTAAAGGAAAACAAAACTTCTCAAGGTTAGAGTGTACTGACCAGTATTGTATAGCTTCCGAGGAAGTGGCTTGACGTCGATAGCGATGTCTAACTCCTAAGAAAGGACGAGTTTTAGAAGATACACACCTGACGAACACTCGGCGTTTACAGTACGGCAGCCATTTTGGAAAGGGAACCGCGATGCATGTTGGGACGGGGTGATCACCTATGACGCAAAATACTCCCTTGGGACAAGAACTTTTGAAAACTTTTCAACTCTTTCATTCCGAACTTTTGTTCCGTGCGCTTACTCCTCTCCTGCCTGAGCCCATTTCTTAAAGGAATTCAAACCAAATTACTTGTGCTAAAGGATATTTAAACTTTGTGAAATTAATGAGAGTTAAGGCCACACCAAGTAAATTTTATGGATGACGTCCTTTGGAGACCCTATATCTAATGCGAGAGGGCGAAAAAAAAACTAGAAGGGCCCTAAAAAACAAGATGCCTAGATTAGAAATATACTAAGAGAGGACAAATGTTGGGACACAAATTGAATGAGGTGACACAGTGTAACAAGCAAGAAGTCTTTTATTCATCATCAAAACAGCAATAAATCAGGTGGAACAGCAGTTGTCGTCCTGTCCTGTTTCCTTTCTTTATTTTTTTTAATTTTTTAATTTTATTTTATTCACATGGATTTTTGAGCATTGGATAGGAAGCACTTGTTGTGCTTATGTAAATCCGCTGCTCATAAAACATAATACAAATGTAAACATAAAGATGACATAAAGTATAGCATTAACATAAAATGAAAGTGGCTGGCGCACCAATACCTAGCATAACCTAGCATTTCCTTTCTTTAATCACATCTTCCCTTATCCCACTGTTGTGACTCTTTGGTCATAGTTACAGGAAGCGGAATTTCTTGGGTTTTTTTCTAGGAACAGGCCAAAATCAATGCGCGCGCGGACGTCATCCATAAAATTTACTTGGTGTGGCCTAATGCTGAAAAAAAATTGATAGGTTCGCAGTTTGGTGAAGGTTGTAAGAAGTCCCAAGACCATCCGTGTCTTCTGATTTGGTCATGCTCATTTCTTGAAAAAGATATTGCCTTGAAAAACACTCTATGAAATAGGAAACTACTGCTCGTTTTGCACCTCATTTAACTTTTTTTCACTGGTCAATTAAACATGCAATATAAAATTGAAGTTCTCAAGTCCTTTCAAATTCATAATTCCGTGTCAGTAGCAGACAGTGCAGTGTTGTGTAGCTGTATATAAGAGAATAACACACTGATACATATATTTTCGCCCTTTTTATTCATTTCCCTTATTATTACAAGAGCTGTAACAAATGTCTTTCAAATATACATATGTATCACCATGGCTTTATTGTGTTCAGATAAACATTACAATCATTTTCACTGTGGCATGCTACCTTTCACTGTAGTATCCTCTGTACAGTGTATGATATAGTATCAGCAAAGATGACATTCTTCAAAGCATCAGATTGCATTCTTTTAATACCAATAATTATTGCTAAATACTCCCCTGTATGGGGATGAATGTCCTCTATGAAGCATAGCTTATCTAAGGCTGTGTTATATGCACTTAAATGCACTGTTCCAACTTTTCACTACATAGAAAAGGTCTTAGACCAAAGCATCCGCTCACAGCAGCTTTTAGGTAAAATATTCTCAAGTACATAGCATTGTACATTATGAATTAATCAATCAATCAATCAATCAATCGATTAGAAGCATCAGGAGAATTAGAAAACCCTAATCTTAAACCCTTAGAAAATTGATTCTGAAGGCATTTAGAAAACCCTTCAGGAGACTTCTACTTTCTGCTGTAGAGTTGTAGTGTAGGCAACATTCTTATGCTAACACTTTTGGGGCAGCTTGATGGTCACCTGAAAAACAAAACATCAACAGGAGAAATTGTTGATTAACACCAATAATACAAAAAAACAACAAATAAAGCATCATGCTTCAGCTCAATTGAGGCAGACAAAAAGAAGAAAAAAAAACAAATAAATGGCACTCAAACAAATGACTGTAATGGAAAACAATCTTAGTGTAAAATCAAGACACATATACCATAAAAACAAGCTTAATTGATCTATAAAATGACCATCTTATAGTTCACAAACCATAATCATGTAACAATGGAATGTACATGCATTTTGGAACCATTATATTGTAATCTTAATGGCCTGTAAACCTAAACCTAACATTTCAAACCTAACTGTAACTTCATCCATCTGGTATATACCATACTTACAGTCTTGACTTCAGTGTACTCATGTAGAGCATACTCTCCTCTGGAAAGAAACAAGAAATGTTTTCATGCTTTATCATGAATTGGCCAGGAGAGTCAGCCCCCAGTAAGGGTAACATTTCCCTTAATTGCACAGGTAAAATATTGGGAATATATGCTGCTATTATTGAAACTTGATGCCCCCCCCCCATGGAAAATTCCATGTAACATTCCTGTTTTCTAAATAAACGTCATGATACATTGTATTATCTCATAAAGTTATGTGGGTGGGTGTCTTGTAAATGGTTCTCAGACTTACCAGTATAATCTGTAACTACTTTCAATATGTTCAACATATACAGTAATATAGACTGTGTGGTGCATCAAATCTAAATCATCACCCTTAGTGACAGCATGGTCACATTCTTTGTAGGCCGCCATCCTACTATTTTGTTTTCATTGAATGTTCTTGGCAGGCTGTGCTAAAACCAACCAACAATGATATACATGACTATTCCAAGAAGGCTCTTAGTCTGTGACTGTATGATGACTGTATGAGGAACGTCACAGCGTCCTTAAATATGAATAATCTGGGCATCACTCACAGCTCCCGTCCATGGCCAGACATCTTGAACCCTCCAAAAGGGGCCTGAAGCGTGCCCGGATCATAGCAATTCACCCTGTGTTGTTTAAAAAGAAACAAACAGTTATCATAATGGCATCACAGCTCATAGCATCAATCCAGCGCAGCTACATAACTGCAAAGCTGATGTGTATTACACTGAAGGGTGGTTATACTGGCTATACAAGTATAGGCTACGCTGTCCTTGGTGCTGAATGACATTCACGTTGACATGTACAATGTAGTGTAACAGTTCTTTTTCGGCTTGAGGTCTACAACAATGAACAAAACAAGTACATTTTACAGATTCTGACTGCCCATCAAATTTAGCAAATACATGTATCATCATCATCATCCACTGTATTCTGCGTCTACAGTCGTATGGAAATGTCTTGTAGCTGCATTCAGTCTTTCTTCATCTCTTTCCACCGTGTCTTCTGCCTCGCGAGCTCTGTACATGTATAGCATGGCAATTAGCATTTCAACCAATAACATAGTAACTGCATGCCCATCAAATATTTGTATTTCTCGTATTCATATTTTTGTTTTTTGCATCTCTACATTTTGATGGAGGTGGCCGGGGCTAAAAGGCTGTTTACTAGTTATGCAAACAAACAAACAGACCAGACAGATCCTGCCTGCACACTGTTGGCGATGGTCAGGGCCTTGTCGATGTCCTTAGTGAACACACCGGCTGCCAGCCCGTAGGTCGTGTTGTTGGCTCGGTCGATCGCCTCCTCAATGGACTTGAACTTGATGATGCTCTGAACCGGTCCAAAGATCTAAAATAAAAAATAAAAAAACATCACAAAATCTCAATAGAAAACATAACAGTATTGGCTACAAAAAGACCTGACCTATGGATCAAATGTGAATGGATGGATGGATGGATGGATGGATGGATGGATGGATGGATGGATGGATGGATGGATGGATGGATGGATGGATGGAAGGATGGAAGGAATGAAGAATAGAAGGATGGATTAAAGGATAGAACTTGTAATAGAAGGATGGACAAATGAACGGATTGAAGGACGGATAGAATGAAGGCTGGATGAATGAATGACAGAAGTAGCTTGACACACCATGAACTTAAAAACATCCTTCTACAGGATGGGATATGAACAAGTAGAGTAGGAGTGTCCACACTAGATAGCTTTGAACAACGCCTGCAGTTAGATGTGCAAAAGCTAGGTGGACAGGTTGTTCAGTGTAATGTAACCAGCTCCTGCCACACTGTGTGCATGCAATGCTGGTGTGTGTTACACCAAAGGGTTGTTATATACGGCTATACTGATAGACATCCAGGTAATAAGACTACACTGTCCTTGGTGCTGAATGGCATTCGCATTGATACGTAAAGCACTTCTTTGTATAAAGGTGCACAGCGTTGCACAAAATATGATGGCATAATATTTTATACAGAGTAAGAAAAAACCCTTGAAAAATATACTGCCTTTTGTTTGATGTAGAGGAATCCATAAATTGACCATCAGGTAGCCATTTGGCACCAAATTTGTGTGGGTTACCGGGGTACTTAGCATGGAGAGTAAAAAACTGTAAAAGGTACCAAATAATGCCATACCTACTACTACCCTGTTATGTATGGGGTAAGGTAGCTTTGAGAAGGGTATAAAAGGTACCCAAAAAAAATGTAATACCTACTACTAGTACTCTTCAAGCAGAAGATTATTTTGGACTTTTTGGGCCATTTTAGGCATTTCTAAATCTATTATGATAACTTTTCTTCTGTTTCCCCAAAGGAAAAGATGACAAAACAAGAAAGCCTGACAAAATACCAAAAATGTCTAAAATACATCCAAAACAATCCCAAACCTCTGCTTGGAAAGTAATCTTTACCTCTTCCTTGGCAATCTTCATGTGGTTCTTTGTTGGGCTTTCTATTTAATTCTGTAGTTACACTGTTTTTTTTTGGTTTAGACCAGTATACCCAAAGAAAAAGCTGAAAAAAAAAACAGAAAGCCCAACAAAATGCTTAAAATAATGTCCCAAACAATCCAAACCTCTGCTTGGACTGTAGACAGTAATTCCTACCTCGTCCGTGGCAATCTTCATGTGGTCCTGCACGTCGTAGAACACCGTGGGCTGCACGAAGTACCCCTTGTCACCATGGCGACTGCCGCCACACCCGAGCTGGGCCCCCTCTTCCTTCCCTTTCTCGATGAGCGCCAGAATCTTGTCAAACTGCTCTTTGTCAACCTGAAGAAAAGAATTACTTTTAGCTTATCTTGTATGTGAGTGGATCAAACCTTTAACAAGCCTGGTCTTATGCAGCTTGTACAGGTATCTACTGTACAAAACTGGTGTGTTACACCTAGAAATTAAGGAAGATTACCAATATTAATTATAATATGTAAAACCAACAAAACTACACATTTTCATTTACATGTGAGGGCAGAAGTACAAAAGGCTGTCATTCACAGAGTGAGGAGCATTTAGAATGATTTTAAAAAAAGTACAAAAATGTATCAGACAGTTAACAGTTCAATCACATGCACAGCACAGGAAAAGCATAGACAGTAAAAACTGTCCAAAAAGAACACTTGGGGGACAGACACAATCTGGCCTGTGGACAGGTGGTCACTATGGACAGAATTCTTGGTGCTTGTGTCAATGGTATGTGACAGGCTGAATAAAATGAGAAGTAGGCGGCTCCAGATGTCTTACTGAAGGCTGACTGTGGTGTGCTAGATGTCGGAATAAAGCTTGAGGAATAAATCTGCTCTACTCATTATATATTGTGTCAATGGGAAAAATTAGGAAAAAAGAGGACATTTCGTTCCCGTCTTTACCCACCTGAGGTCCATGGTCTACCTTCAGGTCGAACCCTTGCCCGACGGTGTGGCTGTTGGCCCGTGCGACGCTCCTCTTGACAAATTCGTCATAGATGGTCTCTTCCACGAACGTACGAGACCCGGCGCAGCAGCACTGCCCCATGTTGCCGAACAGCGCACCGTGGGCTGTCTCCACTGCATCATCAACTGGGCGGGGGAGGAAGAGGGTTAAGACATCAGATTCAGTTTTTATGTTTACCAAAGGAAAACATATTGTTTTTACTCAGTTTCTTCCTCCTCTTCTGTTCCAAACACTAACCTCTGACCTGGCCAATGACATGATTTTTTTTATGTCTGCCACCATGGTGACTGGTGTTGGGTTGCATTATGTTGCAATTTCATACTCTGCTCTACTCCTGTCACCATATACTTGTAGTACATGTATGTGAATGTGTTTGTGTAAGAATTACAGGGCAGACCATGTCCGAAGGTTAACATTATGCATTTGCTTTGCAAATGTTACCTATTTTTTTCTCTCCAATTACTAGGTACATTATTAATTGCTTGAATTGTATCATTGTGGTTTACAAGCTTTGTTGACAAACATATAAGACAAAACAACTTTGTCACTATTAGAATCCCAGTTTAGATCTAGTACGGTGTAATCAAGTCTCTTACATTACAACACAGAAAAGAATAGTAGACTTTGTAAACACACTGTGGAAATGGAGAAAAACTTGCAGTCACCTACATGTACATGTATGGAGCAGCAGACCAATGATGACATGAGAATACAAATTAGGAAATTGGACAAATAAACACTAGGGAAGTTGGTCCACTAAAGGAGTTACATGTAGCCTCTCTGGACCAGTTTCTACTCTTTCCAGCCACTTTTGATGACAGGAAATGAGTTTGAGTTTTATTTAGATCCACAATTAGCCTCATAAGAGGTATTCTTCCTGTGGTCTACACATTCAGAATCATATATACATACATGTATTACAAACGTACAAAAATATTACAGTTAGGTTTTGATCAAGGTGTAGTCCAACTAGCTTTACTGAGGGACATTGTTCCAGATGTTGTCCCCTTAGCTCCAGCTCCAAAGGTGGCGCTTCCCTGGTTTTCTTAGCTGTTCCCACAAGCAATTATGTATGGACCTTTACACTGATGGTTCATACATATTATAGAAATGTATGTATGAACCTTTACACAGGGACCGTACTTACGATCAGAATCAGCAAACACGATGAGCGGGCTCTTTCCCCCCAGCTCCAGTGACACCCGCTTCAGGTTACTCTTTCCTGCAGCCTGCTGAATAATCCTCCCAACCTTTCCAAGAATGTGCAGGAAGAAGAAGAAATATTTCAATTACTTTAACAACTGATGGACTTCAGGATGTGATGGATAAATGACAAAATATAATACAGACTAATGTACAGTTTATCATCCCTCTCTACCTCAGTGACTGTAAACAGCAGAACATGTAAAATGTAACTTTATTTACTTTGAAGGTAAAATTTAGGGTGTTGTTTTGGTGCTTCAAATCTGTGGTCAATACAATTCTGTAGTACAGTTACTGTAGTAATGTTAGAAATACATATTTCCAGAGTTGTGACAGTGGAAACCACAAAAATAAAGCTACCATGAAATTTAAAAAAAAATATATGGTACTACAGTAGTAACACCAGACTTCCACAAGGTCACAATTAAAAAGTACATGCATAATAACAGCATTAGAAAACGTCTTTTAACTTGAACGTTTGCTCTTAACAGTAAACCATGATCCCGAACCCTACCTCAGTTGACCCAGTGAAGGCGACCTTATCCACATCCATGTGTTCAGCGATGGCGGCTCCAGCCGTGGGGCCGTAACCGGGGACAACGTTCATCACACCTGGGGGGAAACCAGCCTGAGGTGGCAAAGTTTAAAAATGTCATGTTCCTTTTTTTCTTTGTTTTTTCTCCTTTCTCTCACTTACTTCCATCCTTCCTTCCTTCCTTTTTTCTGTTATGATTTTTTATAATCCTTTGTCATCTTTTTCTTTTATGCTCCTTTTCCTTTTCCCTATTGTTGAATTTCTATAACTTTTACTATTCCTCTCCTATTTGCCAAATCCTGACACCTTTGTCCTCTTAATGTCATTCTGCCTGTCCATCTCCCCCACCTCGTGCTGTCAACCTACACTCTGTCAGGACAAACATACACACAAACCCACACAACTTTCCTCACCTAACTCAGTGAACATGAGTATTGGTGGCGGCATAAAATAAGTTAAAAAACTTGAGTGTGCCATCACCATGTGTTGTCATGAATTGTTGGAATAAAAAGAAAATTAAAAAAAAAAATACTTCTGTATCCGGAAGCAGAAAGCAAGATACCTCGACTACCAGTGCAGCCACATGCAGTGCAGTGAGAGGTGTCTGCTCGGCTGGCTTCAGGATGACAGTATTTCCACAGGCCAGGGCAGGCCCAATCTTCCAGGCCATCATGGGCAATGGGTAGTTCCACTTCATAAAAAACAAACAAACAAACAAACAATCAATCAATCAGTCAGTCAGTCAGTCAGTCAAATGGTTGATTGATAAACGACAATGCAGCTTAGAGCTGAATAGGGATTTCTTTACAGATAGTACCAGTATTTCACTTAATTTATAAAAGATATTACAGCATTACGTACCAGTAGTTGCGATAGTTTTAGAATATTAGCTTGAAATCAGTTATCCTAATCCTTGTCCTGTGCAACCCAACAATTGTTGTTTTGCACATACAGTACATCCATATAGCAACCTGTATAGGTACGATTTGGCAGTGTTTCTCGTGCAACGCATTACACCGGTGCTGCAGCAAAATGCAACGAATGCGGAAGTAACTATGCCAAATTATTGAAAAATATTGTGTAAGGAATGCCAGCAGGACAAGGACTAAGATACAAATCCTTTGATCCTTTAGTTTTGCTTACAATGACCTGCTAGTGTTGAATTCTTTCATTCAGTATAAAGTAAGATGGGTAATGGAGAGGAACTCACAGGTATGATCTGCCCACATACTCCCACTGGCTCATGCCTGGTGTAGCTGAACATGGGTCCATCTGTATAACACAGAGCAGTCAGACACTTGAAAAATGTGAAAAATGTGTAGAAGACAATGGGTTAGACCAAGTGGAGCAATACAAAGGATTCCTGCCTTCTCTCCTTCACACCATAATATCATGAATAGTTACTATTACAGTAGTATTTACCATATGTATCTGATATCTGCCCTTGGTGCTGAAAATCCATCACAGAATTACTTAAGGAATGCACAGACAATCCAAAGTGACTCAGCTCGGCTTGTGCAGTGGTTCACTGCTAACAAACTTTCCCTAAATCCCACGAAATGTAAATCCATGCTTGTAGGGACACATAGGGCCAAGTCTGCAAGCCGTGACCTACATCTGACACTAGAAGGTACTAACCTAGATCAGGTAAATACCTTTAAGTACTTGGGAGTCTTCCTAGACAGAGCCTTACAGTGGAACGACCACATCTTACATGTAACTAAGAAGTTGTCTCAGGCTATTGGTATCATGAAGGGATTGAAACCATTTATCAATAGAGAAGCCTTAATGACAATATACACATCCCTTTTTCTCCCTCACTTAAACTACTGCAGTACTGTCTGGGATCAAGGTACCAAGGGCGGCATCGATAAACTACAGAAACTACAGAACAGGGCGGGTAGGGTGATCCTGGGGTGCGATCACTACACACCTAGTGATACCATACTCCACAGACTTGGCTGGACCCCAGTGATTGAGATGCACAAGAGGAATAAAGCAGTGCTTGTTTACAAGGCCCTACACGACATGTCCCCTTCCCACATCTCAGGTCTGTTCACACAGCTAAGGGAGGTACACACACACAATACACGCCTTAGATCACAGGGTGGGCTACAACTGCCAAAAGCTCAACTTCAATATAAAAAGAAATCCCTCTCTTGTACTGGTGCCACATTATGGAACTCACTCCCACCTCAATTAAAAAGAGCAGATTCTGTTTCTTCCTTTAAGCGCCTTTACAACCAGGAGTGTGTTGCCACATCATAACTTGTTATCAAACAGCATTGATATGCAAATTCCTCTGTTATATTCCTTTGTTATATTCCTTTGTTATTTCCTTGATTTGTTTTTGTATTATTGCCTTAATTACTATGAGTTGTGGCTCTTGGTTTGACAAGTTTGTTTTATTACCACCTTACTGAGTTGCGGCATTATATAGTACTTTTACTTTTATTTGTACTAAGTTGACTTTAATTTGTACTTATAAGTTGACTTATCATTTTGTTATATCTGTTATTTTCTTGTATATTTTATTTATGTATGCCTGCAGGGCACATTGAAAAACGCCTTAGTGGCGATATGTACACCCTGGGTAAACAAATAAAAACAAACAAACAAACAACATGTGGGTGTCATCTGGAATACAGTAGGATTTGATAATAAGTTGATAATAAAAATTAAGTAATAAGCAAATTTCCCAAATAATGTCGAAGCAGTTTAGAGCTGTTTTTTTTTACATGTCAAAACCTATTGTATTCTGGAAGATTGACGCTTGTACGATGTGCAGTTCTTTGTATTTCTCTGTATTATCAGCCTTGTCTTATAGTACTTTAAATCACTTTATATTAGCTAGCAAACTTTCGCTGTCTGAGAAATTCACATTCATGAAACTATATGTTTGTGGTGATAGCAGGTGCAGAAGAAAGAAATTCTGCTAATTATTAGTTCGCGGTTATGATAAACTCATGGTACAGAAGTAACCGCAAAAACTGCGAATAAAAAAGTACCGCAAATACATGTATAATGTGATTTACAGTATGTGGTTTCAATCAGCATCAGAGCTATGAGCAATTCTTTTAGCATACCTCCTCCCTCCCTCCCCACTTCAAAGAAGGCTTTCAGCTTCCTCATGAATATATATGGTTCAACCGAAATACAAAATTAGTCTACTGCTCAGAGTGTTATTATGGGTTTGTTATGATGTACCAGCAAAACGGCTAATACAAAAAGATTGTTAAATAATTTGCAAAGAAAATAAGCCGTTTGAAGTTTTTCTGCCTCTCTATACCAGTAAGTTGCAGAAGGGTAACATGCATGGGGGGATTGCAAGAGGAAGAGAGAGGGGGAGGGAGGGAGAAGGAGAAAGAGAGAGAGAGAAAGAGGAAGAAAGACAAAGTGAGGGAGTGAAAATCTTGTGTTGGTGAAGTCGCATAATGACGAATTAGTAGTGAGTTATAACTTAATCATTCATTCATTCATTTATAATTTAATCTATTACTGGGATATCCACATTAAATGTCATCCATCCATCCATCCATCTGTCCATTCATCCATCCATCCATCCATTCATTCATCAATACTGTATCAAAAATTATATTGAATTTCTTGTCAATCCTGTCTCAGCTGCAACCTTAGATGTAACTTTGCTTATATCTTTTATATATGGAAGGTTCAATGAAGACAAGATAATTAGCATTCAAGTATTTCTTTATTAATAATCACCGTCACAACTTCACAATTAGTCTCAGCAATTTCATGCTGATTTTCCAACACTTTCATATTTGAAACTCAATTGCCACTTCTACGTATACAATGTCATATATACTATACAAAGAAAGTCATCAGAGAGTAAGTTCTCGTACCTCTATAACATTATGATTGTACTATTCATCACAAGTAACGTTATATAAAAAGTTGTGAATGAGTCTGCCACTGAGAATGTTGTTATGGTGTTCAAAGCAAGTCGTGACGCAGATCCAACATTCCTGACTGCCAGGGGATACAGGCCTAGGATGCTTATCATCAAATTGGTTTGTCTGAAAATTTGCAATCAGCTTCACACAAAGTGACTGTTTTGAGTCTATTGCATATAGATTAGGTGGCAAGTTTTTTTTTAGTCGCAGTCATACAAAGTGTTGTTTTTAGTTTTTTGTGTTGATATGAGAACTGTCATTCTCTGTCACGTAAAAGTGATCGCAAATGTCATCGTCGACGGACAAAATAGAGCCTAAGTCTGCTACTTGTCCATGTTGATGTTCTGAGTCTCTTTGTTCTACTTCAGCATTTTCTGTCCCAGGAAAAGTTATATAGGTGTGATCAGAGTCGTCTTCTGAGTTGGACGAATCAGCGTCCAGGTCCGACATTTGCCTGTTCATTTTTCCTGCCTGTCTTTGCTGTGTGTCAGCATTTTTTTTCCCCAGGGAACGTTATATAGGTGTGATCAGAGTCGTCTTCTGAGTTGGACGAATCAGCGTCCAGGTCCGACATTCGTCTGTTCGTTTTTCCTGCATGTCTTTGCTGTTCATTGGCATTTTCTTCCCCAGGAAACGTTATATAGGTGTGGTCAGAGTCGTCTTCTGAGTTGGACAAATCAGTGGCTAGGTTTGACACTCGCCTGTTTGTCTTTCCTGCCTGTCTTTGCTGTTCATCAGCATTTTGCTCCCCAGGAAAAGTTTTATAGGTGTGATCACAGTCGTCTTCTGAGTTGGACAAATCAGTGTCCAGGTCCGACATTCGCCTGTTCATTTTTTGAGCCTGTCTTTGCTCATGATTGTCGTCAGCATTTTCCTCTCCAGGGAATGTTATATAGGTGTGATCACAGTCGTCTTCTGCGTTGGACAAATCCGTAGCTAGGCCCGACATTCGCTTGTTCGTTTTTCCTGCCTGTCTTTGCTGTTTGTCAGCATTTTCTGTCCCAGGAAACGTTATATAGGTGTGGTCGCAGTCTTCTTCGGAGTTGCACAAATTAGTGGCTAGGTCTGAAATTCGCCTGTTCGTTCTTCCTGGCTGTCTTTGCTGCTCGTCAGCATTTTCCTGTCCAGGGAACGTTATATAGGTGTGGTCAGAGTCGTCTTCAGCATTGGACAAATCAGTAGCTAGGTCCGACATTGGCCTGTTCGTTTTTCCTGACTGCCTTTGTAGTTTGTTGGCATTTTCTTCCCCAGGGAACGTTATATAGGTGTGATCACAGTCGTCTTCTGCATTGGACAAATCAGTAGCCAGGTCCGACATTCGTCTGTTCATTTTTCCTGACTGCCTTTGTAGTTTGTTGGCATTTTCTTCCCCAGGGAACGTTATATAGGTGTGGTCAGAGTAGTCTTCTGCATTGGATAAATCAGTAGCTGGGTCTGACACTCGCCTGTTCGTTTTCCCTGCCTGTATTTGCTGTCCGTTGGCATTTTCTTCCCCAGGAAACGTTATATAGTCATTGTCTGACATGCTATCAGCACAGGCAGAAGTTGAGGCCTTCTCGTCTTTGGGTTTGCTCTCACGTTGTTTAGCCCGTTGTCCGGTGTCTTCTGCTGGAGATTGGTTAGGGAGCGCCATATAGTCGTGGTCTGAGTCACTGCCGTCATCGCTTGGTTTGGTGGTGTTGGGAGGCTTTGTGACTGAGTCCGCGAGTGGTCTCTCGTTGTCGTAATTGCCGGCATCGGACACACCATTGTTTGAAGATGCCTGTTGTGCTTGAGCATGGACCTCTGCGAGGACGCTTAATACGTTTCTCTTGGCTTTGGGCCTGTTTGATGTTGCAGCTTTGCTATTGCTGGGTCCTGCAGCGTCCTTTTCGTTGTCATAGTGTCCATCTGTACCTTGTGCTTGAGCATGAACTTCTGCAAGGACGCGTAATACGTTACCCTTGTCTTCAGGCCGGCTTGACGTTGCTCTTCTCTTAGTCTTAGTGACGTTTTTCTGGTTACGACGATGTTTGGCCTTCTTGGCTTTGGCATGGGAAGATGTCTTCGCTGGTTTCTCACCGGTCAACTCGTGAGGGGTTGGCCTGTGTGGGTGCTTGCTGACATCACCATCATTGTCAGAGAACTGGTCCTCGTTTTCGTACTGAACTCCATCAGAGTTTGAAAACTGGTCGTCGTTTTCGTAAGCACCTGCCTTTGCTCCGTCTGTGTCCGAAAACTGGTCATCGTTTTCGTAGCTGACTCCCCTGGCCGAGTCTATGTCAGAAAACTGATCATCGTTTTCATAGCTGACTTCCTCTCTGGCCGTGTCTGTGTCCAAGAACTGGTCCTCGTTTACGTAGCGCCTTCTCACAGCATTCCTTTGTCCATTGACGTTGTCTCCTTTACACTTGCTCACACAAGCAACTATCGCCCCGACGATGAGGGAACATGCCACAAAAGATCCCAGTCCAACGAGGGCAAATTGTAGCGGAGACAGTTCAGGACTGGGGGGAGTTGCAGTGTCCGTTTTGCTCCCTACCAGTGTGGTGGCGTCCCTAACCGTAGTTTGGGGCTTAGACGTGTGTGCGTGCGTCGTTGTGATTGCCTTGTTTGTTGCGTTCTGGAGTTCTCTTGGAAATCCGTGGCTGGCGACGGTAGTGAGCACAGTTGACGTACGTGCATCTTTAGAATGATCAGCTGTTTTTCTGCAGGGGTACTGACCTGGATTCTTGCAGGGACGTGGTGGGGAATGCTCGGAGTTGCACGTTTCCCTCCTATCATGTCTTATGGCAGCCAATCCTTTAGGAGATACGCTAGAGGCACACTTTAGGTCATCCAGGGGTGTCCATCTGATTCTCTTGTACAGTCCAGTGGCAGGGTCAGTACACGTGATGCTCCACTGCAAGTCGTTGTTTCTGAGCATCCATGTCTTCATTTCCCTCAGATTGCAGTCGCACAGGATCCCGTTTCGAGCCAAAATCAGCCGTAAGACGTGCTTAAGCTCATCAACTGCTATGATTGACGTTAGAGGATTCCAATCTACCTCGAGCGTGAGAGAATGAGTTGACATATCTGTACCACGAGGGATGCTGGAAAGGCAGTTTTTACTCAGAAGCAGTTTGCGGAGTCCAGAGAGTCCAGCGAATGCTGCGCCATCGATGTAGTTTATCTGGTTACTTTTCAAGTTCAGGACTTCGAGCCTGGCCAGTCCCTTGAAAGTCTCGGCCTCCAAGCGTCTGATCCTGTTGTTAGACACGGACAGTTCTAACAGACTCGGTAAGGTTTGAAATGACCCTGGTTGGATAGTTACAACCCCACACGACCATATGCTTAGCTTCGTCAAGGATTCAAGGCGAGGAAAGTCGCCCACCGTGATCTTCAGGATGTGACTCTGATACGACATCGTGAATTTTTCCAGAATTGGAGGCAACGGTTTCGGAATGGAGTGGAAACAACAGGAGGTACTGCATGAGAGATAGGTTGTGCTGTTCGTAACGCCCCGATCGTACGTTTGCATTGCACAACAACATTTCAGGTTCGGGTAGGAGTCTGTGTGACCTGCTCCAGTCTTTGCCAACAACGTTAACACTAGTATCAAACTAAGCAGACTTGAGTACGCCATCTCAGAATCGTGCTTCTACGAAGACGTCCAGGCAAAGTTGTCGGCTAAATCTTAGACACTCACCTACACTCAGAGTCAAGAAGACTTGGAGAGCAAACAAGACTCCTTCCAGCCTTTCCTTACTTTGGTGTCTGTAGAAGAAAGTCCATCGATGTCCATATCACACAAATCTGATCTCTTTGTTCGGATTAAGCATCAAGGACTGGGGGTTGTGAAACTTGGGCAACGATTCTCCCTTTTTGTCTTCCACTATGTTTCCCAGCCTTTTCCCAGCCAGAAATCTGCTCAAATGAAAACGCCAACTCAAACGTGCATGCATAGTTATAACCTCTGCTCGTAAACAACTAAGAATAGGCGTTTGATGTTGAATTGAATACTTATAGTAAATACTTGACATTGGTGTAGTTCTTACACCCAGGGTAGTCACGTAGCAAGATGGGGAAAAACAACTGGAGGGCACAGGTTACATGGTGACTGAAACACAACTGTAACGCTTAATAATTATACTAATATGAAATTCCAAACCCCTAGGACTGTTTTAAATTTCTGTGAATTTATTACCACAACCTAAGAGCCTTTTCAATAGTTGACGGCATAAAAAGAGTTTCATGAGGCTGGTAAATCATTGGTTGATAAAGTTCTTTGTATAGTCTACCAATCTTTTTTTTTTTGGTGCCAACATTTCGATGACCATCTGTCACCTTCCTGGCGGGAGAGAGACATACTTTATTGCACAAAGGAAACACACAGTTATAGAAACGTACAAGTGTAATCTCGCGAGAGTTATGGTTACAGACACATGACCTTATGCACACAAGACTTTATAGACGCAAAGATGTGAGACAAGACGAAAGAGACGAGACGTGAGATGAGACGAGAGCTCTGTTATCGATGACATAACACATTTCTTACGCCAAAAAGCAGTTACTCAAGCAACTGGATATTATTTTGGAAACAGTTACTGACATTTCAGCTAGTATCCACTAAGCTTTCGTCAGTGACTGAGAGACCAGAGGTGAAATGCAGGTTCATAAGCACAAACTATTGATTGCCTGCATTTCACCTCTGGTCTCTCAGTCACTGACGAAAGCTAGTGGATACTAGCTAAAACGTCTGACCGTTTCCAAAATCATATCCAGTTGCTTCAGTAACTGCTTTTTGGCGTATCGTATTACCTGGATGTCTAACCTTCATCGACGTAACACATTTCTTATTTATTACAGTAACTTCACATTTCTCAATACTCACCTACAGGGATGGTTTTCCCACAGACCTTGTCAGACCAGCCGGCGTAGTAGCGAAGCACGTTGACGATTTCACCCAAATCCCCCTCATACGCATCAACAAAAGGTTTTCCATTGTCCAACACCTCCAGACTCTGGCAAAAAAGAAATTTGCCAATCGGTAAAAGACAGGAAAAGGTTTCTACACGTAGATTGAAAGATAACTTCTATAAGATTAGGTTTGCCACTTGTTTTTTTTTTTAAATGTATGTGAAATGGACAGGACTGTTTATGGTCTATGACTGGAGATGGTTGTTGGTCAGCCAGCCAGATTTCACTGTAGTACCCAACCCTAGTGTAGCTGCCATGTGAAGGTATTTGCAGAGAGGAAGAAGACTTGGCAGTTATAGTAGGGCTGAATACTATGCTAGCTTTAAGTTGGAAATCATTTAAGCTTCTACCAGGCTTCAGATGCAGCTGGAAAGAGTAGAAATTGGCCAAATGCCTGGAGATCTAGAGTTGGTCTTCTTCTACTAGTAATTGAGTACAATTTTTAGGAGTGGAAAACTGTAACGGTTACTCCTTTAGCAGAATAAATCCCCTTACATGTTATATATATATGACTATTTGGCCAATTTTTACTCTTTCCAACCACTACTTCTGAAGCCTGGTAGAGACTAGGGAATCATTGGTATCTAACTAACTGGTTGCATGTTAGAGGGAGGGGATAAGGAGAATCAGTGAGACAAAAGTCGGTGTTACGTACAGCCAGGTACACGCTGTCTCGCTCAACCAGATCTGCCAGCTTGTGCATGAGCCTGCCTCGCTGCGATGCATCCATGGTCCGCCAGGGGGAGCCCAGCTTGAAGGCCGCCCGGGCAGCGGCAACAGCCTTGTCCACATCTGCCTACAGAGTGGGGTATAACCATCAATGTAGCCTCCACCAGGCTTCAGGAGGCAGCTGGAAAGAGTAGAAAATTGACAAAATAGAGAGATAACATGCCGGGGGAGTTGGTCTGCTAGAGAGTATATGACATTTTGCGTCAAACTGTACTTTTCTAGCGAACTAACTCCCCTGGCATGTTATCTCTCTATTTTGTCAATTTCTACTCTTTCCAGCCGCCTCCTGAAGCCTGGTAGAGGCTAACTCGTCAATGGTCACAGTCAGAAAGGCAGACTAGTGTATCATATTATTTCAATAGTTTACACTGGTCTCTGGCACTGCAAAAACGGCTGAAATAGAACCATTTAGCAAATATTTCCAGATTGACAGTACCTTGTCACCTTCCTGCACATCTGCAATCTTCTCCTCTGTAGCAGGATTGATGGTTGGGAAAGTCTTCCCACTTACAGAGTTGTGCCACTCATTGTTGATGAAGATCTGACAACAGCAAAATGAACACATGGAACTTCTAGCAAGCACTGTATACAAAGTGTAGTTATTTGGGCGACAGCTCAAAGAAATTAATTAGATGCACAGAATACGACCCCTGACCTCACTTGACCCAGCGGTCATATGTTTATTGTCATCACAAGTAGCGGGCGGTGGGAGCTCACGTCCTCGAGCTCATCTGAATTTTCTGAGCTTTCTACCGCGCTACTGTCTCTCTATGATAAGCGTTGAGTGTGAGTGCAGATAATTAAACTTGAGTTTAATACCTTTGGTAAATCCAGTGTTTTTATACAAACGTCCTAGACATGTTTTGTTGGGCCTAATTGTAAATTGTATGTGCCATACTGTTTCTAGATGGGTTCTCAGGTCTCTCCACTTACACCCACCGGCCTTCGTATGTAATGTTACCCATTCTACTGGTCTTTCCACTCACTTCAACTTTTGACAGACCTCCCTGACAGTGCATCACATTGCATTGTGCACGTTCAGCTAACTGAACTGGCTCATTCTTTCCACATGAATGACTGCTGTGACCTGTAACCTATACCTATGTAACAGTGGTGTGTGTGTGGTGGGTGGGGGGGGGGTATAGGCTATACCAACTAAATCGGCCAATAGGTCTAGACCTTTTAGCCGACTGGTTAGAGTGTCGGGGTGTGAACCTGGTGCCCAAGTTTGGCGTGGGTTCAATCCCAGGCCCGGGGACCAGGAGTGTCTTCCTGTTTCTACTCTCATCTCCTAAAACCCTTCAAAGTTAACACAATCCACCACCACATTTTCCGAAGCTACACATGTATGTTCAACAGTTAATAACATATCTTAATAGTTCTATTCGCCTACTCTCTAAAATATGCCTATGTACTTCACATCATCACTGATATATATTAAATGGGCGTTTTCCAGCTGTCAGCTCCCGTGAAGAATGGTCATGGGCGCTCCATGACTTCCCAATGCTCAGGCAACAGGGCTTGAAATTTATTTTTGAGAACAGATGCACTGGTGCACCCAACCTAGAAAATTGGGTGCACAATAAAATTTTTGGAGTGCACCATATGAAATAAAATATGGAGAATGTAAGAAAAACTAATCACGTTTAATTACTAAAGAAAAATACTAAAAGAATGATTTTATTATTTTTCTAACACTTGATGTTAGATGTTAACAACATGTTGTATACTACTAGTGTCTTATTAATAACTGTAGCTATACATATGTAAACCTACAAAAATATTGGGTGCACTGGTGCACCCACAGAAAAAAATGGGTGCACAGCTCCAAATTTGGGTGCACTAAGATGCACATGCACCCAGTATTTCCAGCCCTGTGCACTGCCTCACCTGCGTGTATTTGATCTCCGGGTTCCTGACGGGCTCTGGAAGGTCCGACATGTTGATACCTTCACGAAAGTTGCAGGGCGAGATTTTACATCTATCTATCGACTTGTTTCTGGACAAGGCCTGAGGGTCCAACCATTAAATGCAGGGGGTGAATATCGACGGCCTTCAAATTATAAATACACGTCAAACTCTAAACGTAACAGTAAGAAAGGTTAATTATGTATAACTATCCGTAAATAGTACTCAGTTACTATTACCAAAGTGATTTCATGCCTATCTTTTTGCGTTGTACATAGAGCGAAAAACTCATCTACCTATATCTATTTTTAGATGGAATAGCCCAAGGCCGGGGCAGCTAGGGCAGGCGGCCAGCTGGACGTCACGTGATCATAACACGTGTGTGTGAGTGTGTGTGTGTGTGTGTGTGTGTGTGTGTGTGTGTGTGTGTGTGTGTGTGTGTGTGTGTGTTTGTGTGAGTGCGTGTGTGTGTGTGTGTGACGTGTGTGTGTGCGTGTGTGTGTGCGGGACGCTTAGAGTTATATGCAGGTGCGCTCGAGAACATTAGCCATGAGGGCAAGATCAAAACTACAGAAAACCCTAATTGACTACATGCATAATGGCTACGAGGACATTTGAAAAGTAAGAATGAGAAATTGTGAATATGTATCTATGTAAATTGGAGTGAAAGGAAAACAGAAAATTCTTAGTATATGGGTCATATGGATCCCATACTGGTGTGGGTACAAATGAGACACTGACATTCAGATAACATTGTTCTTGTATTTGTTTATTCAACTTGGCACATCTGACAAAAAGGGTAGTATGGTGATTCAACTGCTATAGATATAATGGTATAGAAAATACCCAATGACTGTCATGGCGATTGACGTTAAGTTACATCGTCATATCATAAGCCCCCTCTCCACTACACGGCGATCTCTGAGCGACCCTTGAGCGACTACAAGTAGATTTGTGTGACCCTTGAATTTATAAATGGAGTATAAAAGACAACAAAACACTAAAAAAACTGTTATCTCTATTAAATTCGATCTGTCAATTTTTTTTCGTCGCTCAGCGGTCGTAACCTCTAGTGGAAACGGGTTGTAATATGTCAGAAAAAGACACTTAGATTGCCAAGAACGCCGACCTATTGCATATGTTCCCGTACGTTTCTCTAAGGCCAAATAGAATACCGAGAATAGATCTTACACTAGCCATCATTTACCGTTAACGTTACCGTCCAATGTACGTCACCGGCACAAATTCACCATTCCAAAAGGAAAACTACATAGGTATGTAATGCTAACAATTATCTCTTAGAATAATTCAACCAAGGAATAATATAAAAGTAAGGAACCTTTAAAACCCCCCTTATTACAATCCCAGTGTCCACACGAATGTACGTCCACTCCTAAACATCCTGTCCGTCATTTTCCGACGTAGAGCAATCTCTGATTTTCCCGCCAGTAATCTCGTTCCCTGAGCCTCCTTCCCTCTCGTTCCCAGTTCAGGAGTTCTTCTGTGGCAGCTTGATGGTAACCTGGAAGGGGGGGGGGAGAATAATCAATTTCACAACTTCAGATGACATTCAATTAATCAATCAAAGAATTAAAGAAATGAGATTTAAAACCAAATTTTTAAACCGCCTTGATCAAAGCTAGCAGACAGGTAACAAGAATGACTGCATTAATTGTGCCAATTTTTACAAGTAAGTGACAAAGTGACGTGGATAACATAAATCATACAATGTAAATGTAACATAGTGTCCGTTGTACAGGTGGATACTTTAGATGTTAAGAAAAGAAGAGTTTTTGAGTCTGTATAGGCTTTTGCTATGGATGTATACATTTGAGTACTGGCACGGGTACTAAGTATGATGTACATAGTGTACAGAGTTCTGTACCGGTACCGGGCAAGCTCAATATGATTAGTGAGATCATGAGTCTAAAGCATGCCCCTACCGTCTTGACTTCCGTGTACTGCTCCAGTCCGTACTCTCCCAACTCTCTCCCCAGTCCCGACGCCTTGAATCCGCCGAAAGGTGCCTGTGGGTAAATTCTGTTGAAGCAATTGACCCTGTAACACATAAAACATGGTCACTGAGTATGACGTTAACGTCCATGAAGACTATGACGTTTCAAGCTGACAACGTCTAATTCAGGCGCGCTCTGGTAAAATATCCTCAGGGCCAAGCTGACAAGTAATACAGACAAAATTTCTAAAGACCCTGAACAAACCATATAATTGATACATTTACACCATCACTACGAAGAGAGAAGTTTATTTGCGTAATAGACTATCCTATATTACTGCTTGTACTAACTTGATCATGTGTATGTATCGTTTGAAACAGCCTGAAAACAAACCAGCCTACGATACAAAACAAGCAGGCATTTTCCGTCAGTGACTTGGCATATTGCCTCATACGGTGACATGCCTCCTTCCTTCCTTCCTTCCTTCCTTCCTTCCTTCATTCCTTCCTTCATTCCTTCCTTCATTCATTCAGTCCTTCCTTCCTTCCATCCTTCCTTCCTTCCTTCCTTCCTTCATTCATTCAGTCCTTCCTTCCTTCATTCATTCATTCATAACTGACGTTAACAAACGTTAGTCCTTCCACTCACCAGACTGATCCTGCCTGTAGGCTGTTGGACATGACCATGGCGGTGTCCAGGTTCTGCGTGTACACGGCCGCCACCAGCCCGTACGGCGTGTCGTTCGCCCTTCTGATGACGTCGTCCACGTCCTTGAACTTCATGATGCTCATGACCGGGCCAAAGATCTGTGTGAGAAAGAACGCTTCTTGTTGGTATTTTACACAGTTTGCCACTCTGTGTTAGATTCCTACTGAAATCGCTCAGCGATCGACAGGACGTACTAGATCGAAAGTGTACTTTTCCGACTATTTCCCTGCTGTGCGACAAAATTAAGCCAGCGTCACAGTCGACGAGCTTCTGTCAAATTTATTGATTGTCAGAAGGTCGACAGAGGTTCGATTGTAGGTCTAGTTTGAAAATCTACTCTGTCAAATTGGACGTGGCTCAGTGACTGGCGGACATCGACCGATCCCAACAGATCACGAGATGGTCGAGAGGACACCGGGTGAAGCATTGCAAAAATATCGTTTACAGCTCGCAGAATCGTTGGCCGATTGATTTTCCTGCTGTGTGACGGGAGTGTAAAAGAAGCTTATAAGACTTTGATGTTGCGAACTATAGAAAACAATACCTCTTCCTTCGCTATGGTCATGTTGTCGTTGACGTCTGTGAAGACGGTGGGCTGGATGAAGTAGCCCTTCTCCCCTGCCGCCTGACCGCCACACTCCAGCTTCGCGCCCTCCTTTTTCCCGCTCTCAATCATGGACAGAACCTTCTCGTACTGGTCCAGGTCAACCTAAGGACGACATCGGTGAAAAAACAGGGTTTTGTTTAAACACATTTTGGTGATCTGCTATGCTAGCCTGGATGCCAGACTTTTCTCGGGGTCAGTACACAGGCCAGCCTCCAGTTAGACCCTTAGAGTCTAACCGAGTGGGTTTGTGGTAAAATTTCTTTGGGGAGGTGTAGGCCCTAGAGCCGAGGACATAGCCCGTGTAATGGCCCTCTTAAAGAGTGGTACCCAGCTGCAGGCTAGTACTATGCAGGCTTGTCAGCC